GTGCAGTGCCACTATTGCCACCAATGTTCACCCGGATGCCAGCCATCTCCCCCGTTGCTGAGGTTGGGGTGGGTGCCACTGGCTCCCGTTTATGGATAGGAAAGGGGAACACCACTGCAGGATCTACACACTCCGACACAGAGTTGTTGAGCTCAGCTTGGTTTCTGCTGCTGCTGTTGCTGCTGCTGGTGCCCCCCGGGCTGCCAGTCGTGGTGGCCACCCCTGCTGTTGCTGGTGCCACTGAGGTTCCCCCTTTGCCCTGCAGCTTCTCATTCACTGCCTGCTCCAGCTTCTCTCGGGCAGAAAAGCCACTCCACATACAGTCCTGGATGATGATGGAGTTGAGATTGTTGTTCTCCCCAAAGCCTGTGTCGAATAAGTCCCCTCCATCTGTGCTGCCCCACAGGTCGGCTTCAGGGGGCAGCAACAGCAGTTCAGATGCCCAGTCCAGAGGATCACTGGTCCGCCATCCCCCCAGAGCCACCCCTGCCCACGGCACCGGGGCCCCTCCTGGGGCGTTCTCCTGAAGCCCGGCCCGGCTGGGAGACAGAGGAGGGGTGGGCAGCAGCTCAAACTTTTTCCAGATGTCCTCCCCTGGGGGGGCAGAGTCCGGGCCGCACAAATAAAAATCATCTTCGTCAGGATAAAAACAGGGCTGCAAAGAGTCAAACTCGAGGTCTGGGTTTTTACTGACCATCCCTGGCATTACTGAGGTCCTCTCGCTGATCCCCTGGTTGAGGAATTAGAGGGAGGTTTCGCGTGTATTTCCACAGAGGGGGAGAGAAGCTCTCCCAAGACCTGAAACCGAACCAAAAAATAAATAAATAAATAAAAAGAAAAAAAAAGCAAAGAATTAAAACAGGAGGAAAGGCACGTAAGCATGAATGCAATCAGCTTCCTCTGAAAAAGCCAAGCCCAGAATCAATAGGATGCACAGAGCCTGCAACTTGGGAGAAAGGCACTTTGCTCTCTTTACGCTGATTCTGCCTCAACCAACAACAAAAACCCAGGTCCTGCGCACACATGCCAGGCTTTCTGCTTTAACCCTTTGCCCTGCAAGGAAACAAAACAAGCTAGCAAGCCACAAAGAGTGAGAGAGGGAGAGAGACAGAGAGAGAAGGGCTTCTGGGCAGCTTTGCAAGCTGCTTCCAGCCACCCAACACAGACCTCCTCTCCAGCAATGTGGAGCCGGCTCTCTTGAGAGTGCCCTCTTCGTGTGCCAGCCAAAGCAGAGGAAGTTTCCCCCTTTTGTCATCGGCACAACAGTGCAAAGGGGAGAGGCGGAGGGCTGGAGTGCAACTTTGCAGCTTGCCAGTTCATTCACTTCCCAGCTCCTTAACAGCAACCCGCACAGAGCACAAGGCAAAGGGATTAGAAAGTAGCAAAAAAAATGCAGCAACCTGATGCAATCGCCTTAATTAAAAAGAAAAAAGAAGCCATCGGCACCACCATCCACAAGCCCTTTGATATGATATTCCAGCAAGGTACAGGAAGTTTCTCCCACTCCCCCCTCGGCCTTTTTTTTCCAGCTAAGGGGTGCAAGGCAGCGCCTGCAGCCAGCAACTTCGCCCCCGCAAACTGCCCAAAGCCCAGGCTCCTGCCCCAGCCCCCCAAGTGGGATCAGACCTTTCCAAGGCACTGAGGGTCCCCCTGCCCCTCGCTCAATCGCTGTAGCTGCCTTTGCACCAGCTGACATTTAAACTGAGAGCAAAAAAAAAAAGGGGGGGGGGAGTGAGGGGAAGGAAAAAAATGCATTAAAATAAAAAACCAAAAATAAAAAAAATCCTTTATGATGAAATGCAAAGAAACCCGCTCAGCTGCTCTGCCTGCCCCGCCCCCTGAGCACGATGGATTTCTTTCTCCTCCTCGGGAAACGCAAATCAGAATAAAGCCATTACACACACACACACACACGCACAATGCACCTGGACAATGCGATTGTATGGGAAGCCAGGAAGGTTTTCTCCTTGGCAGGGCGGGAGCCAGGCATGCACAGCCCCGCGACTGCGCCTGCAGCGCGGGCTCGGCCCGGCCCCG